TTGAAAATGATTTTGCACAGTGAAATTGCACCAGCAGATTTTTGGGGGAATGTCACGAATGTCAATGTTGGATTATTCAAAGGTTCATGGGCATTCTTTTTACAATTGACACCTAAATGCCTAAATATGTTGATGATCATGCTAAGCTTGTCGATACGGACACTGACATGTTTGTAAAAAGGGTTGACATGGATGACTTGCAGAAGGACTTCACGGAGGTTAGTCTTTACAAAAAGGATTTGGCGAGTTCAAGGACAAACTCAATGGCAAACTCCTAACAGACTCTATCGGGCGAAAGCCGAAGTCCTACTGCTTTCAGGTTTATTGGTGAAGACAAAGAAAACTAATTTAAAAGAAAAGAAGAGAAAAGGAGTAGTGAGTAGTCAAACAAAAAGTTCAGAACCCAAAAGCATCAGAAACAAGAACCACCAAATCTACAGCATAAATCAAACCAAGTATGCCCTTAGCTTCTTTGACAACATGGCGCACAGAATTGGAGTGTTTGCCTTGCGGGCAGTACCATAAAATGAGTTAAAGGAATGATAACTTAAGACGTATCATGATACCAACAAATATTCAGATTATTCAGAATGAATACGGTTGCTAGACTCTCTCTCCATGATTCGGAAAGCCTTTTAGGTTCTACCTGATATATAAGCTTTTGAAGCAAAGATTTCAATAGCACGGGCATAATATACAAAAATCACAAGAGAAATGTCTAGATGATCTTTCAAATCGCATGATTTGATGTGATGAAAATGGTATAGAGAATTATCAACTCTGTTGGATTTATGCCTACCCTCATTTTAGTAAAAGCAGGGGAAGGATAGCCGGCTGGAGCAACTGAATGGATAAATTTTACGGCTTCTAGGAAACACACCGCAACAAATTTGGAGAGGATAACAGAGGCAAACAAACCCAACTCTATAAATATAAACACACAAACGCACTTACTGAGCAACCGCAACCGAACAAACAAGAAACAGGAAACACAGAACACCACCAATGAAGACCACTAAAGCTGGAAAGAAAACAACAAAGAGTATATGAGTGAATGTAATCAACAATTGCAATGATAAAAGCAAGGGCAAAAGAACGAACAAAAAACACTTCGTGATTTGCATGGCTCGGCCACTTACAAGTTTTGCTCAAACCATTCAATTTGTAAAGTCTATTGTTCATCAAATCCTTTCCTACTAAAAATTGGTTTCTTTCCTTGACGCATAGTTGCCCTTTCCCTTGTCAAACACCCTAATGTGATCGCTCTCACTTATGCTTGGGTAACGACAATTGCACTTTTCTTTGGGTTCTGACCTGAAATACGTGATCAAGGTCGCGCACATTGTTTGGTGTTGTTTTGGTGCTACTGTGGACTTGGTTGGTGTATCTACTCAATGATGGCTTTAGCACGCCCACCCACATTTTGGGTCTGTAATGCCTCAACCTGTCCCCAATGATCTGTTTTATGGCACCTGTCATTCTTTCTGCCTGATTTGCATGCGTCTTTGTTTTTACATATGTCATGCCCTCATCCTTAAAGAACTTCTGTAGTTTCTTGCTATTCAATGCTCCTTCGTGGTCGTTGCAAATTGATAAAGGCTGGCCCAATACTTTCAGGGACTCCAGAACTGCTGTGAAAGCATCATAACCGTCTTTGCTTTCAATAGGAACTATGTTGCATTTCCTACTGAAAGTATCTACGCAAACCAACGTAGACCTACGTCCCTCGACAAAGTTGTAACATCCATCAAGCCGATTTGGAGTTCATATTTCGGAAACGGTGCTGTGTAGGAATTGTAGTTCAATGTAGTTTCTTGTTTGTCTATTCGGTTGTGCCCTCATCCACTTAGAAACCATATTCAAAGCTATGCCTAGATCGACTTTTCTAGCCTTCTCGTATAAGTCTCTCACCGAACCGAACCGAACTGAACCGAAGCCCTCCTCCACATCATAGTATATTATCTCTAATAACTTTTATGTTTCCAATTTAGTCATTGAAGGTATTTAGGTTGTAAGTTTATGGCATTTCGTTTATATCTTTTATCATAAACCATTATGCACGTATACAAAGAACCTCAGGCACATTCTTGTTTTCTTGTGCTTTGCCAAGTTTGACTTACAACCGCAATAAGCACGTGAACAACGTTGTTTTGTTTTGTTTCGGCAATCGCCCTTCGGCTTTGTGTTGTAATATCCGTAATCCTGTTTTCTCCGTTCAGCATTTGTGGCCTTCTCAGCTGATGAATTTGCTTCAGAACCTTTTGCAGATGCCGCAGAAGATGTACCGGCTCTTTGTTTCCAATCTGTCCCAAATAAACTCAAATGTTGTGCCATTCATGGGTATTTCAACTCCATTGCTTGCAATGCAACAAAGCATACTGTGCATCTGTGGTTGTATATGTTGATCTTTCTACCAAAAATTATGTCCTGAATCCAATTTGTGTATATCGATTTGTATTTGCATCATTTCATACAAGTCGCTAACACAGCCCAAAATCATTTCAGCCTCAAAGCATGTCCCTCGCAAATGTTCAATCTTCTGTTGCTCATATTTTTTTGCACGTTGCAAATGACAGATCAAAAACTTCCACGTCAATGTGCGAGCTGAGCTCGACATATTGATCGTATCCATAGCTTTAGCAAAGTACGCGGCCTTGTTGTTGGACTTTTGGCTGTGCATCTGCACTGTCCAAATGATGGCTTGATTTGACAACATGTCATTCCAATGTTAAGTTGTTTGAAACACGGTTTCCAAGAAGTCATTTCTTGCCTGCAATCTTCATCTCCCAGAATTTAAGTCAAAAAATCAGTATACTGTCAACCCTTTCTCTTCACTCCAAACGTTCCGGGTAACATGTCCAAACCCTCCGGATTTAATGTCCAAATTCATTTCCAAGCCCTTTAGATTTCATTTCCAAACCCTGTGGTTTTTTTTTCCGAACCTGTTGGATTTCATGTCTTATTGTTTCTTCCATTTCCAAGTGCTGACAAGATTTTTGGGTGCGATTTCAACATACAACTAGCGTTGTTCAGCATCTGACTTAGTTCTTGGTTTACACCGTCTTTCTCTGCTGACGTCCATTGACAGGGGTTGAACACCCAAAAAGCGAAGTGTATTCCACCAGCCTTCTCCAAATTTCTCTTGAATGTTCCATCTATTTTGGGATCTTGTAATTTTCACATTGGCCAAATGCACCATGAAAACGGCGCTTGCCTGCACAAAGCCGTCCATCCAACAAGTCACTGCTTTTATGAGGTCTTGCCACTCCATGAGGTCTTGCATCACACCAACCTTGGCGCACATGCCGTGAGAAAAAGAAACTCAACTCACAGTCGGGTCAGAAAGAGCCTCACAGTGTGTTTTCAGAAGCACCATTCAGAAAGAAAAGCATTGCCACACTGCGCACATGCTGCGAAACAAAGAAGCCAGCCAATGGAAACAACATGGTAGAAAATCATATCATAAGAAGAAGCAACCTATGGAAATACACAGGCTCAAACCTTTAACACCACAACAAGAGTTGAAAGTAGCCGCTCCAAACAATGTCAACACAATGTTCAACTGAAGCTAACAAATGTATCAACCCTCAATCGACGGCCCTCGAAGTCCGTCCACGCTCAAGCAACGAACAAAGCTCTTCAAGCCGTGACTCGAGTTGAGACCCACCCACTCTTGGGCCGAGACCATCGAATCAATTGTTGATGTCATGACCGCATGGATTCCGGATGGAATTTCACACACCATAAATCTATTAATGATAGTCATTATCATGTTTTAATGTTGAGTTAAATGATGAACATGTATGATAATGTACAGCTTCAAAATTACCCATTGGAATTAACGATATGATATTAGGAATGTAACTAAACAATGTTGAACCAGATTGATTTTAGGAATAAAACACTTCTAGGATTGGACGTTTATTCCTACAACTGAATGAGGTTATACGATGCTTTGATATTGATGATGTTGATGATGAAATATGATGAAAATGAAAAAGGTGATATGATGTGATGAAATTATGTGATGTTGTTACGAAATGTTAGGATGAAAACTATGCTGATATGAAATGATGATGTGAATTCCTACAATGCCGATTTTAGATATTTTCCTCCCACCGCCAAGCTCTTCTCCCCGCAGCTTGGGAAGGCTCGATCGCTCCCATCAAGATGACAATGGCTTTAGCTTTCTTGGCGAGGTCAAGGTCAATCTGGAGGCGGCATTCTTCCTGAGAACGTGCATATAGCTCCAACTATATACATGGCAAGCGGCGCCTAGAAGCGTGCATGTTTCTTGAGACCATCTGGAGTTCAAATTCCTTCGTAGTAATAACAGTGTTTTGACTTCATGACATGTTTGCAGGGGTGTTTCCTGGACACCAGAACCAGAACCACCACCAACAACAACACCACCCTATCCAAAAATAATGCGAAATAGGCTAGTGAAATAGTTCAAGAAGCAACATCATCTTCATAGCAATCACAACGAAAGCCAACCCAGGAATCCCCGCACCAAAACGATCATCAGTCGCGCCCACTGCCCGAAAGCTCTCCATTGGTTTACAGGAAAAAGATTGAATAGCGCAACGCCGTGAAACATCATGATCGAAACAGTAACAACGAACGTCTAGTCTAGAATGCTCCCCACCAAATCTCCTTTCTAACCTCAGAGGTTCCAAGACATTCCTGCACGAAGCAGCATCATCTTCAAAGCAATCACAACGAACTATAATGCCAAAAGGCGGTAAAAATATGCTTGACATGTACAAACACTGTAAAGCGGACACACACACACACACACACCCGCGCACACAACACACGGATCTTTAGGGCTTCTACGCACCACCAACCAACTACACATGTCCTTCAGATGCCGCACTGCTTCAGGGGTACCACACACGGTTGCTTAGCATTAGTCAGTCCTCTCACAAACTTGCAGGTATGAGACCGGCTAGACCGGCCCAAGCTTGAGATTCGTTTTTGCACGGCTGGCACAGGTACACATCTTCAAAACAAGTGAGCAAAGAGACCCAATGCAGGTGACATGAAAAACGAATTGCTGTTCAGCTGTTCATGGTGTTCAATCTGAGACATGTTCGATGCATCTGATATGCATGGATTCCCAGTAGGCCACTCTGTTCATCTCTTTTTCCTTGGCGCTCCCAGTGGCTCCGGTTCTGCTTCGAAAACGGCTCGGATCGTGGAGAAATCGCTGGGAAGTGGATCCGTTCTGCTCGGCGGAGCTGGGAAGTCGGATTGGCGCAGCTACACCGTCGATTGTTCACTTCGTGATCGACATCAACCTGATCGATATTCCGCCCAGGTCTCTTGGACCATACGCCAGCAGCTCCTCATGAGGCCGAAAGTGGTCCTCTCATCAAAGTCGTTGCCCTTGGCGGCGGCAAAGACCAATGTGGCTTGGCAATCTCGAGAGATCTGCCACAAAGGAGTGGAGTCTTCAAGTGTCGAGTTCTCGCGTCCAGTTACTCGGACCTCACCACGGAGGGGCCTCCCAAAGCATCTCCGAGCCATTCCCACCGTCGCGTCGGAGGGCAGAGTCACTTTTCGTTGGTGGTCAGTGCCGAGGGGCAAGTCCGACAGCTGAGGAGCCAAACCTTGCACAGCCTGGACTCGTTCCAGCATTCTCGTGTAGGAGCTCTTAGCCTCGTCACTCTCCAACAACACCTGGAATTGCCGGCACCACCTCTCTGGATTCTCCTCCATCCGGGAACGAGACATGCTGAAAGCAGCGGCGAAAGAAGCTTTCACCGCTCACGGACATATTTGTACCACTCACGGCTATGGATGGACAAGGACATCGACATCACAAGCAGTTTTGAGCTTGTTAAGGCCCTTCCCCTTACCCAACCAGAACCTCAACGTGCCAACATGTCAAGGTTGACATGCCTTGTGCGGGGAGGTTCTCCGAAGATCAAAGATTGGCCAAAAAAGGTGTATTTTTGGGGTGTGGGGGGGAGGGGGATCTAGAGGCTTTTGCCCCTCGTGTAGGGGGAGCCGCATATCTGATACAGAAGCCTCGAATCAAAAGAATTGCAAGGGCCAGTCCATCCAATCCCCCCTCAAAACATTGGCCGATGCCCGCTGCTACCAGGCTGCTGGGCTTCATGGATGCTCCTCAGATGGAGCCGGTGTGGGCTTCATGGCTCCACACGAACTGGTCGCACTCTCTTTCACCCGGTCTGCTCCTTCATTCAGGAGGGAAAAAAGAACCTAAGGCAGCACTTTTTTCTGGAAAAAAAAAACGAAGGGGTTTTGGGAACTTCCGAAAACGGGTCGTGGATCGAATCCACCCGGATCCAAGAGGTTCGGTTCTTCCGGTCCAAGAGGCTGGAAGACTTGAGCCAAGGCTTCAGCCAGGCTTTTCCCCAGCTTGGCAGCCACCTGCCCAGGTGGCAATGCGACACAAATGAATGCAGAAACACCATGAAACACCCGGAAGGGCATTCTGAGATGTTGGAGGAAGCTTCTTGCAAGAACAACTGGCCATCGGTGGAGTTCCATGCAAAAACCGTGGCGCCTTCGCGTTCATCCGGGTGTCTCCCAAATCAAATCTGCTCAGAGTGGCCTGCACCTGCAGACCGAGCCCCGACCCGACGAGCGCCGTTCTGCGGCGGTGCCGGGCGGTGCCGCGCGGGAACTGGTGCAAATGTACAGGACAGGATGGCGGCCCCACAGAAGTGGAAGATCAGAAGCTAAACATGTACAGGACAGGAGCCCTGTCCTGGTTAAAGCGAAACACAATTCAAGATCCTTCCTGGAACCAAAAGCGCACTGGTGCAAGTTCCAAACTGAAACACCTGTGTATTCTATGGCATTTGAGTGAGCGGACGAAGATTGTCAGCCAGAGTGGTTCGGATGATTCCAGGCACTTCACAGGTTGGCGCCCCACAAATCGACTTGACCACAGGAGCCAGTTGCAAACATTTGTGGGCTGTATCCGGGACAGCGGTCAACCACTTTCCAGGCTGGTACATTTCGATTTCTGGGGCGCATGTGACGCAGGTGACTTGGCATACATCCACTAAAGCCAAGTCTTCTTGTCGTGACGCTCTTTTTTCCCCCTAGCCTCCGGGTACTTCTCGGCGATCCTCAGGCAGCTCTTGACGAGAGATTGTAAAACGACCCTGGAATTGGCGAAACCAACGCCAATTCAGAATCAAAGGCGCTTGTGAAGCTCCACTCCATGCCAATCAGCCAAACACATCAGCTCACAATTTATCCAAACTCCCTCCACCTCACACCAAGATCCCCCAGCCGACTCAGGCAGGACTGTTTGCCTTCACACCAGCCCCTACGGTGCTTCTCCAGCCCCAGGGGCCGCCGGAAGCTCTTGTTGTAGATGATTCTGACGTCACCTCAGCGCCAAAGGATGGATGTTGATTTTGGGTGCCATAGCTCTGACCCAGGGCCTTCCAGGGCTCTACCCAAGGCGTGAGGTTTTCTGATCTGGCTTTTCTTCCCACTCACATGCAACATCCATCCAAAAAACCTCATAACATGAAGCTGTGACTGAGACTGTTATCCGACTCCAACCTCCACGGATTTCTGAGTGCCACATGCACTCCCCCGCGTCCCGTGATCGTCAAGGCGCAAAAGGTGGTGGCCGTCACCGTGACCGTGCGCAAAAGCGTGGCACCCAGAAAAACCAGCTCGCCTCGACAGGAGATAAACTGAACCAAAGTCCCACTCGCCTGACTCAGTGACAGTGGGATCCAAAACTTCTATGAACCCATTGACCTTCCCATCCATGCACTCAAAATACTTCACACACCTGAACATCTACGCGCCCCGGTTTCGAGATTTTGCATGTTTTTCCTCACCTCCCTGGAGGGGGAAGGCCAAGGCGCCGAAGTAAGAGCCTTCACCCAGGTGCTTCACCACGCGGCCGTTCACTGAGGTCGCCACCCGACCTGAAGCCACCAGGGAGGTTGAAAGTGAGACAGCACTGACGACAAAATCACGACCAAATCAGTGGCCACAAAAAGAAAAAGGTGGGACACCTCCTGTGGTCGCGGTGTGACTGGTCTGAAATGTCAGGGCGAATCGTGATCGGAATTCTGTTCTACCCCCTCGCGAACCCGTCCGGGCGATGGCGTCGAAGGCACGTCCGGGAGAAGCCTTTTTCAAGCTGAAAAAGACAAAGACGGTTCCGCGCCTTTCGAGATGACCATCATGGAGTCTCCAGGGGAACCCTCACGAAGCAGCACAGTGCCAGGCATGACCAGCACTTTTCGAATGCTCTCCTTGCGCGCCAAACTCTGGAACGACTCTGCTCCGCTGTTCACCGGAAACAGTCCAATGGTGGCGACTGTCCCTCCCACATGCAGAACGAGACAAGCCTGTCCGACAGGTTCCCATACCTTGCCACGCTTGGCCCTTTTGTCCGACATTTCAACGACTCGTTGGTTTTGTGCTAAACTGTTTGTGCTGATGAACTCTCCTATTTGGTGCCACTCGGCTATCTCCAATCAGCCAAGCTGCTGGCGTGTTCAAGAGCTCATCCAAGAAGACTGGGCCAAAGTTTCCTAGGCCAGAATTGCATTTTGTGCCACAAGAGGGCCCAACAAAAACCCTTCCTGTAACCAATGCTGAATTTGTGTGCCCCTCTCTCTCTCTCTCTATCTATCTATCTATCTATCTATCTATCTATC